CAGTCACACAGCTTTTATGTGCGCTGCTAAGGTAGACCCATACAAAACCGTCTCAGAACTTTCCCCTTGGTATTCGAGTCATGTATATGAGATTGACTGACTGACCACCGGCGAAACCTCCAAAAATCACATCGTTGGCTGCCAACCATATTAGTGGGTATGTTCTATCAAAAAATGGGATCGGGCAAGCGAAGTAACTGACAAGCGCGAATGGCTCTCACTGGATCGATTCGATTTAGTATTCGGCCTGATGTGTAGAGTTCCACTAAATCTTCCGGGGCTGTTAGGCGAATGGCACTCATAACAACAGATGCGACCATTATTCGAGTATTCAACCATGCATCCTTAAGAACGCCGTCTGAGAACATTAAATCTCATTAGCCAACCAACAGCCGTTCTTAATTTAACCCGGTTTAGTGCTTTTTTCACCTATACCCCTTACCGTCCAACATGCTCCCTTGCGAATATTTCAACGGTGCATTCCATTAAAAGCTGCATCTCCAAGTCAGAACTTCATCGCAAACAACTTTAGGCAAAGTTAGGTGATATTCTAATCACGAAACGTGGTCCGATCATAACTTCGAGGAAATGCGGACATTATGGGCATATCTAGAATATACTGTTGATTCACTCACTCCCCTTGTCGGTATTAGCTTCCATTTCTCGTCCATAACTTTAATGTTCCGTGGCCAATCAATCATTTGAAGGGCAACGGCATGACCTAAATTACAATGAAAACTTCTCTGACAACTATCAGTTACGAAGCGTGCATAACTATCGTTGTTGTGTTCCTTTCATTTGTCAAACTGCTTATTGGGCTTGCTCTTCTTGTGGACGCCGTTTCCGGAAAATGCTTTCTTACAATCCAGAAATACTTGCTTTGTGAACAAGAGATTGACTTCTGCCTAATGACGGCTGACTGAAGTGCCATATTAATCAAGGACGGACTTGTTGGGGATGTCAGCACCCCGAAAAACCGTTTATTTCCGAGTTATTGCTAAATTATTTTTCTAAAATTTTGAATTTTTAAATTTCGCTCCTTTTCCGCCATGCTGCACCTCAATCCAAAATGATCGCGCCGCTTTTCTATTGGCTAGTTGTACTTTGTGTGAGCTAACTGAGTTATCGCTCCCCAAAGTTACCCATAATATATATAT